TGACACATCACTGACGTGGTAAGGGTGAGGGAGGGTGAACCTTTTTTTGAGATGCGAACTCTGTATGGCCGCGTGCTGCATGTGGTGAAGCACGCTTCGTTTGAAGTTGTTTATTATTGTTAGATGATTTAAAAATGTGGGTATATTCTTGAGGTTCCCTGGAAAGAAATATGTATGAGGGAAATCGCGAGCTCAAAGTAGACCTAAGTTATTGGCATTTTTTGTGAAATATTTCAGGTCCTCAATTCTTTGTTCATTTCTCAGTAATCAATAAAACCAAAACTCTTGTTCTGATACGGCTGAAAATCCATAAAACAGTATAACTGAATAGTTCCTAAACAGATAGCGCTCCATTTGCAATTCTTCTTGTATTTATCAACCTTTTTGACTACTGCCGCATTTTTTCGGCTCATAGCTTTTATCACCTAACAGTTTTCAATGTAATTTATCATATCTATGCATATAAATGTAATGTGTAATGTTACCCATATACAATACTTTTATATCATATGTATGCGATGTAAATCTCATTTGTTTATACTCAGCGCGCCACGAGTCGCGGCGATGAAAAGGCGTCGGCCACAGGCGCCGGTTTGCGGGAAAACGCCGCGGTACGCAATGGGTTAACATGGCATGTGGTGTCGTGTCCTAGCAGTAACGATAATATATTGTACTCTGGATACTGCGGTTCAATACTAGGCTAGTATTGTCTTCGTTACTTAGAAAATCCGTTTAGGCTATCGGTAAAGAGCAAGCAATGTATGGTGTATTGGATGAAACAACGATCGCTACTGTATTGCGTGAAGTGTTGAAAGGTCTTGACTATTTCCATTCTAGTGGTCAAATTCATCGCGATATAAAGGTAAGTACTTTTTCGTGGTTTCAGGGTTCATGACTTCATTCTGTGTTCCACGTGGAGAGGTAGTTGGAGGGAGGGGGCAGCGACGCCACTTTACCATGTCCTGTTTGCTTGTTCGTACCATCACGACGAATGATGGTGGCACTTCATTATAAGGCTCCAAAAAATGTGGCAAGAAAATACATTGCACGCAATGGTCGCGTCATCGCGTGTCTCGTCCTTCAGCTACCTCCGTCACATATTTTCATCTGTTTTGTAGGAAGTGTAAGGAGTACTTTGAGATTTTAGGCGGGTAATATTCTTATTTCTGATGATGGTACTGTGCAGATAGCTGATTTTGGTGTATCTGGTTGGTTAGCATCATCCGGCGGCGATCTCTCACGTCAGGTATGGAAAGTTCTTTGAGACGGTCCTGCACATGTGAACTGCCGGCTATTCACATGGTGCATGCGTGTGCAACAGCTTCATTAGGTGGACTGTTTCACATGTTAGAGCAGTGCCAAGTTTGTTACCACCCGAGTTGAGGATTGTCTTTAGGACCAGTGCAACAGAGGTCCGTCATCATAAGCCTACATGAGTATAATCTCTTGGAAGTTGTTATGAGAAATCTCTTTTGGCTAGTGTTTTTCTCTGTTTCTTCATCCGGTAATAGCCTTTTTATTGTGTTTTCCTTCCTCCATAATGCGTGTATTCATACTTTGCGTCAGCGTCCACCAGCGTTTTGAAACCTCGGGCGACTACGGAAGCATAGGTTCGATCTAGCGAACGCCAGCGTCCACCAGCGTCTGGGAGTAGAGAGTATGGGAAACAGGGGGTAGCAAAGTGCTGGCAGAGTATGGGGAAGTAAGGAGGAAGCAGACAGCTGGAGTAGGCGTCGTGAAACTGCGACGTGTGCAGCCGCACCGTACGATACACAGCGATGCCATTTAAGGTACGGTATTGTGTAGTAGTATGGTGCGGTCGCACACGCCGCAATTTCACGACGCCTAATCCAGCTGTCTGCTCCCTCCTACTTCCCCATACTCTACCAGCAGTCTGCTACCCTCCTACTTCCCTATACTCTCTACTCCTGGACGCTGGTGGACGCTGCCGCAAAGTATGAACACAGCCCATCGTTAATAACGTGTAGGTAGGATTTCAACGAGTCATTTTACTGTAGTTAATTTTCCTATGGAATATTTTCTTTCGCTAGGCTGTTATAAAGAGCACCTTCCTTGTTTCTGCTGACCTCTGTTGCACAGAATATGATCCGTTCAAATTCAGTCCTCAATTCAATCAAATTTCAGAATTAAGCGCTTGTTGCATACGTCTTGCCCATGATGACAAGAAGGTTCTTTATGAGGATGTTTCGAGTTCCAGTAGAAAAAGTGCTGCTTCGAAATAGATAGTTAAGATGCGTTGGCTTTGCGAGAGAATGAGATATGCAGTTATTTAAGTTATCTATAGTTGCCTACCGCTTTTATAGCTGATCCCGTAAATTTTGATACGCTGACAGTTCCGGAGGGTATTGGGGTCGGTTATCGGGTTGAGCGCCTTGATAGGCTAACCGTAACCAGAATTGTAATACTTTTTCGTATCAAAATTGTTAAGGCGTTCGGCTCATATCCCCCAATTCCTCCGTATGTTGCATCGTGGACCGAATCTCGAAATAGGTCTTTTGTCGTGTAACACATGTGTTTGCGTTTCAGAAGGTTCGTCACACATTCGTCGGCACACCTTGCTGGTGGGTTTTGGCCTCGTTAATTCGGGGTATACGGTAGGGGGATAGCGTGGATATTCTTCAAACATGTCGCTAGCTCGTCCATATCACTATTATAATAATTTCGCACTGATTGATGTACTAACGAGATGATTGGGAATATCCATGACTGCGGCGCGGGGTGGGGGTAAGATTGGTAGGATGGGAGACGGGTGCGGCGCGCGTGGGGTTAGGCGGGACTTGGGCCGGGTCATGATCATGGGTGGGGACCAGACCAAGGAGGTAAATGTTTTAGGATGGCACCAGAAGTGATGGAACAAGTTCAAGGATATGACTTCAAAGCAGATATATGGAGTTTGGGTATTCTTGCTATTGAATTGGCTACTGGAACTGCTCCATATCACAAATTCCCACCTATGAAGGTTAGTTGCCAGAACCTGTTTTATTTTATTAAAATATGTCGGCACTACTTACCCTTTACTGCCAAGCTGTTCCGAAATGGGGTCGGTTTACCGGCTTTTTCTCTAAAGGCAGTTTGCCTGAAAATTTGATCCGCCGCTGTTCGGCGACGAGCTGAAGGGGGGGGAAACATTTTGCACTTTTGCTACTTCCCATCGACAATTAGTCAGCGAATGTGTGAAAAGCCTCCCCCTCCCCTACGTCGACGACTGCGCCATTTGATCCCGGGGCAGTTTGACCTCCTGAACACGAGTATCATCGCTATTATCATCGCTTGGTCTGGAACCCCCTAGCGTTCGCGCTGCCGGTGTCGACATCGCTAAAAACTCGCCTACAGGTGTAGCTTTGCCCCTGGACACAAATGTCGCATCTACTTCGTATGAAACCAACAGCCCCCGCACGACGGCACCCCATGCATGTTGTGACCCCGCCGTGCATCGTTTTGTGAGTGCTTAAAACTTCGGGTTGGTGACCCTTTTAGGCTGAGTGGGTGGTTCAGTGAGTAAGAGTAGACGACAGATAAAGAGAGAACGAGTAAGCTTCATCTCGCTAAGACA